CCCATCCCCACCCCCTGGGGTTTACTGATATGTTAACCTACCCCTCCCATACTACTTACCCTGCTTTCTCCAAACACCACTTGACTAGTTGTACTCGACAGGCCTACCCATCCCCACCCCCTGGGAATTACTGATATGTTAGCCTACCCCTCCCATACTACTTACCCTGCTTTCTCCAAACACCACTTGACTAGTTGTACTTGATAAGCTAATTTTTGACAAGCTTGATACAGTAAAGGGTCACACAACTGGGCCTGGAAATATATAATCATGGCAGAATTAGTGACTGACAGATAAATATGTTTAATATGGGCTTAAAAGAATTACCTGACTATCCCAGAGAGCATCCAATAAGTGCCGAGCATTTTCACAGCTGTAACAATACGGCCACCCAAGAAGTAACACCAGGGGCTTTAGCAGCTTGAACTCTGGTGGATTCAACAGCTGAGTGACTTTATCAAAATCTCCATCTTTAATAAATAATAAAGCTGTTTCCTAAAAAAAAGATATGAGAAGACTCATCGGTAAACTACTGTCTGAGAAAGATTGTAATAAAGATGATAATAAAGATGATACAATAATGGGGATGCTGATATGATGATGATGTGAGGTTGATGATGTGATGATAGCAAAGCTGGGTTATGACAATGATGCCGGCGTTGCAGCTGCTGCTGATGTTGATGATGATGGTCATGATGGTGATGAAGTTGATGATGATGATGCTGATGCTGACAATAATATTGAATTTCCATCAAGTTTTAAGAAAATAGGTAGGAGAACATCCTGAACTAAGCTGAAAGTCCTGGCAGGATTTTGAAATAATAGGAGATCATAGTATAACATTTTTTGTGTACCATTTAGTAGCTTTTCCAACGGAAGTGGAAACTGTCATAAAAGTCCATAAAAGATCAACATGCTACTGTACAATAAATGCCCATGTCCAAAATACAAGAAAGAAACAGAGGGAAGCCGCACCATAAGTGTCTGCTGYGCGAAAGAATGGAACAAATTAAATAAAAGTATCAAGGAATCCTCGTCGATCAGATTACAAATTTATATCTTAATTCAATTAAGTTTTATTACATTATTGAATACTAGTAGTATGATACTCTTAATATCTTATATTTCTTATACATTCATTATCTTTCATTTTTAAAATATTATATATATATATATTTATTTATTTATTCCTATC